CATATTTGTAAGTAGCAGACGCAACATAAAATCGTCAAATGGCGAACTGCAATTTGTATGTAACAGACTTAGTACAACCAAAACTGCTAACACGTCTGCTACATTCGCGTGATTGCAATTTGTATGTAACAGACGTTGTACAACCAAAACTGCTAACACGTCTTCTACATACGCCTGATTGATTATTATAGCGCAAAACAAAGCACTGCTCTATTTGTCAATTCGTATTTTGTGGTCGTTCGTGCCAATTTAACCAAACACGTTTTTATTTATATCTGTCTAAAGAAAATAATATGAATGAAATAAGTGAGATTTGGTTTCCGAAGCTGTATGATTGGAAGGTAATTAATAAATCCACCTACAAATTAAGAATTAAAACAAAAGAAGATGTAGAGGTATGTAAACAAAATTTCTGAGTTATGTTTTTGGGCGCTTAATGCTCTGATATGTATAAAAGCCAAAAGCCTGTCGAGGACTCTTTTTGGTAACGTTTTTTTGAGGAGCATGGAGATTATTTTATATTTTTTCGTGTATTAAAGGTGTGTTCCTTGGGTTTTAAACTGTAATTTATATTATTTTTTTGGTTGATAAGTATATTTATATCTAAAAGCGTATAGTGAAAGGTTTAGCCATAAGGGCAGCGATGACTTAAAAATTCATCAGACTCGTACAAAGTAATAATTATTGATAGACACATCATTAATTAAACTGAGAACAGATATTGATTTATCACAAAAAATGCAATGTTGCCATGTAAAATATGCAGGGTTATCGTTCTAAAACCTGAGATTAGCTACTGCATTACTGCATTCAAATATAAAGGCGTTTCTTCAAAAAATAGGACTTCTACCATAGCAACTCGCCGCAAAAGAAATAAAATTCCTATTCAACCAACATCAGTAGCAAGAAGCAAAATGGAAGGAAAAAATATCTTTTCTGAAAGAAAATCTTTTAGACACAGTGGAAAAAAAAGCAGCACATTCATTAAAAATGTGTGTAGAAAAAAACGTAGGGCTTGGTGATAATAAATTCCAAAAATAAGGTTTTTCTGTTTTTTTTTTTTTAATTTGTTGTTAGTAGTAATATTAATAAATTAGCCATTAAGTTTTTTAAGATCTCACTACCATCATAAATAATTTACCAAGAGATGTAAATAAATTAGTAAATTTTACTAAGCATCCTTGTGTCTTTCTTATTCTTTTTAATCGGTTAGGTATCTGAAGGCATGATTTTTGATTTAATCGTTGTGTATGTAACAGGCGCGTTACTAGTTTTAGTTGGAATACGTCTGCTTCATACGAATTACTCTTAGGCAATTTCCGAATGTTAATAGATTGTATTCTGCGTCTGTTACATACAAATATGCTACCGGGCATTATCGACTTAAAGGACACCTTAGTAAACTGAGAGTAGTAGAGGATAGTGAGTGCAGATTCTGTGAGGAGGAGGACGAAACCTCCATTTACATTCTAACTGAATGTGTAGTACTCCAGAATCCAAGGGCACTATACCTAGTAGGAGGATATCAAATAGAAAAGAGAGAGAGATTTACCTAACACGAAGCCACTCCAAATCCTACACTTCCTTGGGAAGATAGGATTGGAAGGGTCGTTATAGGCATTGAGACATTTCCTTGGTGCATTAGCGACAGAAGGGGCACAATAGATCTTTTAGGTCGCAGTGTATTAACACCCCATCCCAACAACATCTCAAGTGAATGTATATTATATTTACTTATTATCACGTCTCATAATTAATTTAATTTGTAAATTGTGTGGTAGGAAAATTGTTGGGTTTTATTTATCTGTAGTTAATGAATATTAGTTTTAGTTATCTAGGTACCTGTCACATAATTATTTGATTTATAAATTAGGTATGTGAAAGGAAAATTGTTGGCAACTAAATTATTATAATCACCCCATTATCCATTATTAATTGTTATTAAACCAACTGAGTACAATAACACGTCTCTAAAAAATTGCTTAACGTTGTTCTATTTCTAACTGACAAGAATTCATCGAAATTAAGTTTTATTATTCAAAATATTGTGTATTAGAAAACCTTGGCAATATTTTTAAACGGTGTAATTATGAACTTATCATTTATTACATAAGTATCGCTTTATTCTAAACTGTTATTATAACATTTGTCTTTGTTTTGTTTTCCAGATCTAACCCAAGTTTAACCCTACTTTCCCAATTATTAAAAACCATAAGTATTTTGTGCACAAAATTTAATTAACTTAAAAGGGACTAACAATAAACAGATACTTTATTCTATTTTTTATTACATATATAAGCGGTACTCATAACAAATCAATAAAAATAATTTACAAAAGAATCGATATTATTAAAAAATATTAGTGCAAAAATTTAGAATTTATAAAACCTATCATTGCAACGTTTATTCAAATTATTTGTGTATAAAAATAATGTATGTTTTTAATTTAAAAAATATATGTATTGGTCGACTGAAAAATTCATTTTTGACGGTTTTCTATAAACATCTCATATTAGAAACATTGATCCATTGAAATATCTCAAAACTAATAAAATAATATAAATCGAAAGCATTTCTATTGACATTTATTTGATACGCTACTGGATAATAAAACTAACAAACCCCGCTCTTCCCCTCCTAACAACTGGCTTGTATATGTTGCTTTCAAACAAACGCAATGTAAATTTTTGACATTCAGTTATCTATTATTATTTATTTATCTGAGGTAATGTTTACCTGCCAGTGTCGTTTCATAGAATAAGTAATTTTAAATTGTTACCGGCGGAACCGGACAATCGCATGTATTTATGGACTATAAATAATTATTAAACATGTATTATAATATTCATAGCATAATTTTATAAAATTTCAACAGTTATTCACAATTTATCAAACTATTCACTCGAAATTGTTTTTAACATCTATAAAATAATTTTATACACCAATATATCGCCTCCACTTCGGTACGATCCGCCGCAAACCTGTCAATTTATGTGTATAAAGTGGGAGAACTGGCAAAAGCCTTTCCAACTTTTAGTCCTGCTATACTACTTGAATCTTTAATGGAAATATTTAGCAATCTGCTATCTTCTATTTCACTCATAAATTGAAAAAATTAATTATTTTTATAAAATTGAACTTAAAAATTACTTAAATGTTATGCGTATCCAATAGACTGAAAAATTATGTTCGCTATGAACAGAGCCTAACTATCTTTGCCAAAATCCTTATACAGAGAGGTTTGGAAAGGTAAAAAGGAAAGGCACTTACATATTGTTTCGTGGATTCGAATTCTGTAGTCTCCTGGTCCTTCTTCGGTGATTCACTGCTCCACTACGCCGTTAACGTCACAAAGTTTATGAAAGTTCGATACGCACTTAAGTGTAGAAACTCCAAGGTCTCGAAAAGTTACTTTCCGTCAGGATGCGAATCGATATTTTTCCGAAAACCTGCGCGTATGCTACTGACTGCGCCAATTAAATATAATAATTCGAAAAATAGCTTTTTAAAAACAAATTTATTACTTTTTATAACAAGTTTACTCAACAACGTTAGAACAGAGAATGAATTTATTTAATAAAAGAAAAGATGATTAGCCTCGGCCGTTTTCTTCTAGTCAACAGTTTTATTATCAGCTGAGCAGTTTCCATGTATGTAATTCGCATTAAGACCCAACTCAACTTTTAACGAATTTTCATTCGAAGTAATACAAGAAAGGTCTTAATGTCTACATATACCAGTATATACGTAACATGGTGAGTTTAATAAAACGTATGTCTCGAATTATCACAGTTGCAAATTGGCGCCACCTCATCGAGAGTACAGTTTTAAATGTTAACACAAGTTTCCTTAAATAATTAGGGCAAAAATAAAAGAGTGTATTTTGTGTTTTAGCTACTAAATACTATAAAAAATGGTGAAAAGTCCATAACTTTTAAATATTTGTTAAATATCACTTATTAAAATATTATACATTAAAAGTAAAACAAACTATATAGACTTTCCACCATTCTTTACCGTACTCTAAACCCATTTTTAAAAACAATTTCTGAAAATATTATCTCTCAGAGCTGCATTTTTTGTGATAAAAAAGTCGCTATCACTTGTCTTGACAACGCGTTGAACTTGGACTTAGTTATTTAGTTTTAAAAAAAGTGGGTTATTTGGTCGTTTATTATGTTTGAATTTATTTGTGCTGATTTAGGATGGAAAATAAGGACCAAAACAACATTATTACTATTCGATATAAACTTTCAATAATAATATATTGTTACGCAGCACGTAACGTGCGAATAAAAGAAGAAATATGTCACCCTACAGCATGCTGCGGTCGTCATAAGTAAAAGTACGAGTAAAAGAAGATAGAATAGTCCAGAAATGTCATTACTTATCAAAAACAATCTAGAAATTTTCGAGAAGGATCAAGCAAGCTATATAAGTCGATGATCCTGACGTCAGTTTTCAGTTTTATGATAGACGTTATACGTTAATGTTATCAGTTGAATTATTGTTAAAGTTGAGTTGAAATAAATTGAGATACCAAAAACCTGCGTAACAATATATTATTGATTTTAAAACCAAAAAAGGTTTATATTTTTTATTTATTTTCTTTTCGCAACTGGTGATATAATGAATTTTTCGAAACCAGTTTCATAATGTTTAACATTGTGCAACTGGTTGCGCAAAGTAGATCATTTTGACCTGCCAATACAAAAAATGTCACTTTATCTGTCAAAATTAGAAAAATATGTTTATCAAATTTTTGAAAATAGTTCAGTTTTTTACCATATAACAGTAACAGTAACTATGTTAAATCACCATACTTGTTTCTAGATAAATTGGTATATGGAAGCTTATTAAGAAGGGGAGCCGTTAAAAATTATTTTTCATTGTTATTTTTCACAATAGGAGAACTATTAAATTTATATAGCAATACTTGGTAGAAAAAATTATTTATTGTATTGTAAATCGTTTAGTACCAATTAATTATTGTTTTGCAGAATGCTGGTCTAATAACGTCCATTAGTGGAGGTGTATATAGCTGTGACATTGGACCTGCTAGAAAAAAATACGAAAAAGATAAAAAAGAGTATTTTGCCGAAGATGTACAGATAAGAATGAAAACAGATTTAACTGTGTTACCAAGAGTTGTATTTTTATCGTCCAAAAAAATGTATCAATTAGAATTTTTCTAAAGATTTTAAAATTTGTTACTTTGTCTCAATATAGACCTAAAAATTACGTAATTATGTTTCATATTCTTGTACAATTGGGTTTTACAAAAATTAAAAAAAAGTTTTTCTTTTAAATGTTTGTGATTCGAAGACTGAAAATAATACGGATTCCGTACTAGTACAAATTGATTTGAGACTAGTCTCAAATCAATTTTTAATTCGCATGACTATTAAATCAAAATCAGACTGCTCAACCAGACCGACAACTATCCATAGTTAGTTTTTGCAAAAAATTACAATGTCAGAAGAGGTTATTGTGTGATCGCTACATGACTATTTTCGAAATTGAAGTTTTAATTTTTAATATATACTTGTTTCGTGACGTTAACGTTTTTGATGTAGCAAAGATAGCGATTGACAGATTGATAAAATATTTTTTTTAATGTATCGCGGTAAGAAGAATAAATTTTTGTGTATTTCATATTGCTGAAGTTTTAAATCAATGACCGAATAATGAACAAGATCTGCTTTTATTTAGTGAAATTTTGTGTATTTTTTATTACTTTCTCAGATAGCACAGGATGTCCTATAGATGTCTTAATTTTGTCCCTTCTTGGTTCGGGACCTAAATCGGACGTTCATTGGACTTTCGATTAACATGAACACTACACGGTGCTTGGGAACCAACTTTAAATGAAAAGTTTATTTACTAGACTTTTTTTCGGTCAAAGTATTTCTGAAGGACTATAGATTGGTGCAATATATTTTTTAAAATCGGTTCCAGCAGCCGTTTTTGAGAAAACTCGATTTTTCATGAAAAAGTTACCTTTTTTTTACTTTTTTGCTTTTAACTTGCGCCTTTCACATTTTCTCGGCTTGCCAAAAGAAAATTTTATTGGGAAAATGTCCGCTCTACAAAAAAGCATCAATGACTTTTTTCTCTAAAATCAGCAGATTTTGAGTTAAATGAGACACGGTGCTTGGGAACCAACTTTAAATGAAAAGTTTATTTACTAGATTTTTTTTTTCGGTCAAAATATTTCTGAAGGGCTATAGATTGGCGCAATATATATTTTAAAATCGGTTCCAGCAGCCGTTTTTGAGAAAACTCGATTTTTAATGAAAAAGTGACCTTTTTTTGCTTGTAACTTGCGCATTTGACATTTTCTCGGCTTGCCGAAAGTAAATTTCAATGGGAAAATGTGCGCTCTACAAAAAAGCATCAATGACTTTTTTCTATAAAATCAGCCCATTTGAGATCTCATTTAACTCAATATCGGCTGATTTTAGAGAAAAAAGTTCATGATACTTTTTTGTAGAGTGGACATTTTCCCATTGAAATTTACTTTTGGCAAGCCGAGAAAATGTAAAATGCGCAGGTTACAAGCAAAAAAGTAAAAACAAGGTCACTTTTTTTATTAAAAATCGAGTTTTCTCAAAAACGGCTGCTGGAACCGATTTTAAAAAATATATTGCGCCAATCTATAGCCCTTCAGAAATACTTTGACCGAAAAAAAAGTCTAGTAAATAAACTTTTCATTTAAAGTTGGTTCCCAAGCACCGTGACTAGGACGTCGTTCGAACGACGTCCTCTGGACGTCCTATTTTGGTCCCATTTCGAAATAACGTTTTTGGTCCGAGTCCAAGATGTCTATGAGACTTTCTATAATACTGGCTGTTAAGTTATTTAAAAATATGCACGTCACTGGAACGATCCACGCCAGAGCGAGAGGATGTTTCAAGTCGACAAGACGAAGCAAGAACTGCACTTGCAGAAAGACAGTCGTCAAAATAGGTCGAAAGACAATCATTTACAATTTCAGTTTCTTTTATACTTATTCATTGTTCAGGTTTGTTGTTTTTAAATAAAAGTGTTACAGTCCGCTTATTTTTATTGAAGTACAAACACTGGCATCGTTGGTCTTTGAATCGATAAATTGAAATTCAACGTTCTGTTTTTTCGAGAGAAGGAGAAGGACAGAAAACCCACGATATACCCACCTAAAGATAGGCGGTTCATATTTCGACGTGCAAATGAAAATCACTCTGTCAGTGACGTCATGCGCGTGGTAGACGAAAACTGAACACGGGAGCATCTGGCCCTGCAGAAAACCTAACCTATCATTTCAATTGAACAATAACAGCTAAAATATTAACTAATAAGAAAATGTTTCGGCATTCAATAATTAACTTAGGTGCGAATTAGAGTAACAAAAAAGAAAAGAAGGTTATATAGTGTTATTTGTTATTTTTTTGATGTGGATGATTTTGATAAAAATGCAATAAGGCGCAAAGTACATCAATTCTTCTTTAGAAATTAACTTCCAACAATTGATAAGGTTTTATAAGAAGTCAACGATGATCCATATTTGTCTACTTTTAAGCGAGCTACATTTTACAAGCTTTTCAAAACTCTTAATTTTAAATTTAAAACTCGAGGAAAAAATAGTTTGCTTTTAGACAAAAATGAAATTGTTTCGTCCTACGCCACAAAAAATAAAACGGTACAGAGAAGAAAAGCAAAAAATATATTATCTTGATGAGACTTGGATTAACGCAGGCCATACCAAATCAAAAGTATGTTTCGATATGTCGGTTTTTTCAACCAGACAAGCCTTTTTGGATGAACTTTTAACTGGTTTTAAAAACCCATCAGGTATGTGCGTAAAAACAGCTCATTATATGCCATATTGGAAGTGAAGAAGGCTTTGTCTCTAATGCACTTTATGTATTTGAGTTGAAAAATCCGGTGACTACCATGAAGAAATGTGTGGAGAATCGTTCAAAGAGTGGTTTTCATACCAAAATTAGAAGATAACTGCATTATTATTCGAGAAAGCTGGAAAAAATATCTACGACGTCTAAAAAAGGTGATATTTAAAAATGGCTATAAGGGAAAAAAATTGAATTCGACTATCAAATGCTTAAGATCCAACTTCTAAAACTTGGTAAGCAACATAAACATTATGATAGGTATGTAATAGATGAAATGGCTAAGCAGCAAAACAACATAATACTTCACATGTCTCTGTATCATTGTGAACTTAACCCTATTGAATTAATCTAGGTTGACGTTAAACAATAAGTAGTAGATAAAAACTCAACATTTAAATCTGGAGACATTAAAATTCTTTTTGAAGAAGTAATATTAATTTCTCCAGAAAAATGGAAAAAGTGTATCGACCATGTTCGCCAAAAAGTTGAAGTAAAAATGTGGGAGTTGGATAATATTATAGAGGTTCAGGTAGAACCACTTGTAATTTTGATTAATGAAGATAGCCTTTCAAGTCTAACTAATTTTTCCGATTCAGAATAGTGCTAAGTCAAGTAAGGAAGAATGCTATAATACAGGGTACAAGTTGTCTAATCTAAATACTAGTAGAACAAGAACAATAAAGAACAAAAGTTATCAAAAATACAAAAGGTTTCTTTTTAAGATGCACAATTTTAAATCAAATACCAAATTCAAATACCAAAAACCTCTTGTATTTAAAGTTTTTTAATGCTTTTAGTAGATATATATTAGCTATTAAAGAATTTGCAATTATTTGGACACCCTGTACAATATAATTTTATAATATGATTGTTTTAATGCTCTGTATCACTGTAGACATATGTAATGAACTAAATATAATGCAACCATCTCTTTTAAAGTCAAATACATTTATTAATTTGTATTGCAGGTTAACGCAGTTTATGTCGCTCACCTATCTTCGTCCAGAAATGTCACTAAAGTCTGGAAGACCGTGTATGGCATTTATTTTATAGTTTTACTTTACAAAATATGTTTTTATCGTAATAAAAAAATAATTTCACAATTACACTCTTTTATTTTACATTTTTGCAAGACGGAAAAGTAAAATACGGCCCTGCTCAATTTTAGCGTCCACCTGCTTCTGTTTACATCAGACGTAAATTAAATTTGAATAGACTTTAGTACCAAATCTTTAGGGGCTGAGGACAAGGGGGAAATGGGACGGGAATTTAAAATAACCTCAACCAGAGACAACGATGTACAGAATTCTTTGAATTGAAGCTTCAGATCAATGTAGGAAAGGAAGAAAATAGTAATATTGCATACTCGGTTGCATACTTACAAACAATGGTGTTGTTTGTAAGTATACAACATTTCTATTTTCGTAAATTATGACAATTTTATATATGGTTTTCATAAATCTTTAATTTCAAAAAAAAAATTGCTTGGCAACCTTGTAATATACAGTGTTTTATTAAATTTGATTTGCCAGCGAAAAGCGTAATACCTTGTATACCCAAACATATATTTTTTTAAATCTATATAACTTTTATTAGAAACTTGTTTGCGTGTCTATAATAAATTGATATATCGAGCAATTACGCATTATTGGGACACTCTGTATATATCTAACAATAAAATTATTTTCAATATTCAGTCTTGACCGGCGAGTTCTTGACTAAAAGCAAGCTTAAAATTTACCCACTTACATTGGCACAATTGGCTAATTTTAACACCTCATTAACAATTTTCGAGATAATTTCACTCCAGACCAAAGTCATATACTTACCTGAAAGAGCCTTTGAGGGATAATTTAAAAATATACAGACTATGAGGTTTAAAAAAATGTATAGTATTTTAACTTATTTTCTTTTTTTTTAATAAGAAAGATAAAATATATAGCAAATTACCTCGCAAATTACCCTCGAGGTTGTAGCACTCCAGAATCCAAGGGCACTATCTAGGAGGATATCAAATAGAAGAGGGAGATTTACCTAACTTGAAGCCACTTCAAATCCTACACTTCCTTGAGAAAATAGGATTGGAAGGGTCGTTATAGGCATTGAGACACAGAAGGGGACACAATATATGGGACAATAGATCTTTTAGGTCGCAGTGTATTAATACCCCATTCCCAACATAACATAACATACCCTCGAGGTTGTCCTGTATTATTTTTGTCATAAAATATACCTATAATTTATTTTTTGTTACTGGTTTATTAATAATTAATTAATTCCGAGATTAATTCCAAACAGAAAATGTCTAGCAGCAATATTGACAATGAATTGCCTCGTAGACCACCTAAAATC